TCTCTACCAGTGGAAAAGTACCTGCCCCCTTCCTTTTGGGCTGGGTTTGAGCCTTTACTGGGCTCTTCCAGTACAAGTACAATGACTCATATGACACAGGACATGGGTAGAGTAGTAGCAACAAACAGCCTCAGAAAAAAGGGGGAGGGGGTTGTAGAGAAGCAGGAAGACTGGTCTTTTACCAGACTGATGCTGAAGCGTGTGCATTTCAGCTCATCCAGAGTCTGTTTCTGTAGCTGCTCAGTGATCAGGGTTATCATGATTCTCCCCAGGATCTGACTTGCACACTTTGGAGCAAATGATGGATGTCTTCCCTGTCGTTCTTCCAGACCTCACTCGTGGGCCGTCTTCTGCCACTGCAGCACCATCCTAGCACCATTGGGACTTCCCTCTCCAGTCATGCCTGCTGAGTCTGCCAATTACAGAGGGACCAGCCCCAAGTGATATTAGAGATGTACCTGGCCCAAAGGTAGAAAATGCATGGCACACATACCACAGCATCCCTATGCCAGGCCTCTGGCAGACATCATTAATTGATCACAGCTCTTTCCTACTAAGCCTAAACACAGCCTTGGAAACATCCTGAACTTGACACTTTAGTTAACCAGTAAGACGAACTAGAGTAAGCAAGCAAGTTGAGACCTAATTGCCACCCCTAACCTGGTTCATGCTGGGCTTTGCCTACCCAGAGTACCAGCACCACTTAAAAAAACAGCTCAAGTGGGAGAGGGATATCCAAAAGGTTACTTTCATCCTGATTCCCCCAATACTTTATCTTCCAATCAGAAACAGAGAGGTAACCATTTCCCTAAACTACATTAAAAGGAACAGGGAACAGCAAGAACTGGTTGTAGGAATGACTTTCTGCTTCAGATCAGAGTAAACAAGGTTTTATGCTCTCCCTAAGCTTCAGTGTTTGATATATTATTGTTTTCCAACAGATACTGTTAATATTCTCTCTAAAAGGGTTAAGAAGATAGAGAAATGGTACCAGGATTTTTCCAATTACATTTCAACTCTATACATGTTAAAAACACCAACTCTATGACTTCATTCAACTAAGTTTTTAGCCTGATCTTACTCAAAGACCACGGATTCAATTAATCAAGGCTCCTTCCCATGGTCAAGTTCAGTATAAGCAAACTAATTCCATCATAGAACAGGCTTCAAGCCCACACAATTGCCTGAGGGGCCTTGCTCAATGGAGGAGGGGAGGATAACCTAGTGTTTCCATATGGTTCCGCCTATTCCCAGAAATGACCAGCAGGCAGACAGCTCATCAGAAGGTGTATGTAGCATTCTCCAGTAGATATAACAAACATTCAAGAAATCTACGTCTTGTGCTAATTTGCTGGGACAGTTCTGGGAAATCACTGGAGTTTTCTTGGCCTTAGTTAACCTACATGTAAAATGGGCAGAGAAAATGTCTTAATCTATCGTGGGTACAATATAACATGAAATATCAAAGTGTAAAAAGCATACCATCTAACCTGCACAAATCAGGAGTCCACATAGACTGTTTCTCAAACTCTCCTGTTCGTTGCTCTACACAGCCTAAGAATGCCACATGTGATAATATCATTAATCTGAAGAGGACAATTGGGTTTATCTATTTGGCTGGATGCTAACCTCCCTCACCTGAACACCCAGGGAAGCCCCAAACAGCTCTTCTGTGACCTTGGAGGTAGAGTACTTTCTACTTTTGCAAAAAGAGGGAATCATCTCTACCCCATTCCACCTTGGAGAGAAGTAAGTAAAGAAAAGCAAAGAACTATGTGTTGATGTATCTGCAGTTTTTTGGAAGCTGTGGGAGAAATCAACCATCATTACAGTTAACTATCATTTTCATGCATAATTATTATTACCACCCTCAACGAAGTTCTAGCTTCCTGAGAGCTCCCTTCAGCGGCTTCCCCTATGATCTTGTGGGAAAAGCTAAAGCTTATATCACATTGCTCTTGGTTTCTTAACTCTGCCCCCAAAAGATCAACTAGAGAGGGACCCTAACTGCAGGCTTTTACCCCAGAGATCCCAGGCCTCAGGCTCACGAGCCATGAAGAGCAGGGAGTGAAGCAAAGTCTTTCAAGCTTTTCATGAGGCATTTGGCCAAACAGCAAACTCCCAGTCCTCTCTGGGATCAAGTGAAGAGAGTGATTTTGTGTTTTTCTGCATTTTAATTGTTGGGATGTGGCCACACACGGCGGTAATTGGAACAATGCAACTACCACCACGCAACTGATACTCTCAGCCTGAGTTTTCTAAAACAGGCCAGGCTGAGAGGGGGAACAGAACGGAAGCCATAAGGAATCAAACCAGGACACAAAAGAAGGCAAACCAGCTCCGCGAGGGGCCTCCTCTTTCTCAGGCAGGCATAGAAAAAAGTGTAAGAAACCCTCTCTTGCCGCCTTCCTTCCCCCTTCCATTTTGTGTATCTGAGGGGCAGAGACAGCCCTGAATGTTCACTAAACAAGTTAAAACTTCTCAGCTTAACAACTGGCACAGGGCTCAGCCCTTTACAGAGCAGCAGGCCGCTAGGCCCTCCCTACGACCCCACCAGGCCCAACTCTCAATCCAGGCTTTCCCTCCACCATCAGCCCCCTAAAATAAAGACTGGACCCCTACCCCATCTACTATTGGATGGTAGTAACCCCTGACGTTGGGGTTTCAGGGATGCTAAGGTTGTGCTGAAACCTGGAGAACCCAGGATCAAATCAAGCCAAGAGGGAGGAGAGTCACAAATCCCCTGGGGACCCTCCCCCCAGGTCCCAGCCCCACACCTCTGGGGGACACTAAAGAAAAACATGAGGGAGGCAGGGAGGTGCATGAACAGGTAAGTGGGGAACTGACTGCTCTTCCTCCATATGGCTCTGGCGGGGATAGGGGTGACAAGTGGGGAGCACCCCTCCCCCCACCCCGATGAAGAAGCAAAAGGCTAGGCCCCCCTCCAGTCTTCAACCTCTCCCTCGGTTGCCCTGCCTGTCCCCGCGGGGTGGGGCATGGGGCGTCCGCTAGCCCCTAGGGGGGCACCAGGGCTCGCTCAGGGGGGGCTGTCTTTCGCCTCTTCCCAATCAGCTTCCATCATCTGGCCGCGGGAGGCGAACTCAGGACGCAGGAGATGGAAAGGGTCTGGGACTTAGCACTCCGCCAACCCCTCCCCCACCGGGTCCCGTGCTCTCCCCGCGGAGGCGTCCAGAGAGGCCGTGCCGCGCGCGCCGCCGGGCTGGGGGAAGGGAAAGAGGGAAGGAGGGAGGGACAGTCGAGGTGCCCGCCCCGAGGCCCCAGCGCCACCTGCCCTCGCCACCTACCGCGGCTCCTCCAGCTCCCTGGGCCGCGGCCGGAGCAGCTCTGAGCGCTCCGTTCGCCCCACGGTGCCCTTAAAAGGCGCCGGCGCGAACCAACGGACCCCGAAGGAGAGTGGGGGAATCGCTCTGGTTCGCAGAATCGCCCTGAACCGCCCGGGGAGGCTCGAACCCCGCGTCGCTTCTCTCCCAAAACCTTTTTTGGAAAGTGCTGTCGGGAATGAGCCAAGCTCTTTGATTTAGGGATGAAGTGGCTTCTTCACTATCGAGTCACCCCCTCCAAAATATTGCTGAAGGTGGACGGACCCAGTTGGCGGCACATCTCCAAACCCGCGGGGGAGACCGTGTCGGACGAAGGTAAACAAAGCGATTCTCCTCGCCCTCCATTCCAACATTGGCCCTAGAACAGCCCCCTACCCGGTTCGGGCCGCGCAAGAGAAATAGCCAGAGTTCCTCTTACCTGCTCTCTCCTCCCGCCCTCTACGGGCACCTCTCAGAAGGAATCCCCCTTCCGCCAGCAGAGGACCGGCCCGCGGCGTGAAGGCTTCTGGGAAATGTAGTCCAAGAGCCGATCAGGGCCTGCTCTGAGTCCCGGGAGCCCCTCTTCCAGCTGCCGGATACCCTCCAACCTTATAAACCCAGGACTTGTAACGGTTGCGGGGCCGTTCCCAATTGATTCTGTAATTAGCCCTCACCCAAAACACTTTGTAAAGCTGAAGAGGGCCCAGGGCTGCTCACTCCTCCTCCTTCCTCTACGCACCCCCACCCCCCAGCAGGATGAGGTAATGGGGTTGTGATTATGACATCATAGGCGGTTCAGTTGCTTGCGGGGGTGGGCGGGGGAGGGGGGAGTATGGTGGTTACAGCTGGACCACTTTCCTTAAGACAGAAAGGGAGGGAGGAAGGAAACTGGCAGCTGGGTAAAAGATGTTGATAGCTTTGTATTTCCTCTTCAGGAAGAGGATGCCACCCTTTATTAAATTTCCACCACTACCACCACCTCCCACCTCAGCCAAAGTTTAAGTCTTTTTTGAGAAGACTGAATGTAGACGTTAGTAGGGAGGAGGTTGGGGAACAGCTAAATGGTTACTGGCTCTTATGTAAATTTGAGGCTCAGCTGTCAAAGAAGGTTTAGAAAAGCAGGCAGAAATGGGAAAAGAAGTTTTAAACAATGCCTTCGTGTTGTGATCTCTTTGTAGGGCAGTTTTAGATTTTTTTTTTAATCCATTGGGAAGTAGCAGTAATGCAAGTAATCTTTACTGTTACACTTAGCAACACATCCCTTGAAAGACATATGCTTTCTCTAAATATTTTGTGCCTCATTCAAATCTGGGACAGGTAGGTAACTGTGATCAGCTAGAAAGTAGAACCAGTGGTGATCTTCCTCATAGAGCCAGGGAAAGGAGTAGGCAGGAGCTACCAAGTCTGCAAACTGAAAAAGAAGAGTAGAGGCAGAGTGAGCTACTTATGAAGAAAATGGGGGTGGAAGAAAGATGCACTGCACATTTCCTTGCACATTTCTCCTTGGCAAAAGAGGGGACGGGGCCATGAAGTGGAGAGACATAGTTTCCAATAATTGCTGTTGTGGAGCACTTATTATGTGCCAGGCACTGTGCTACATACTTTAATATGTTTTCTTATTTTTTGCTTAGAATCATCAAATGAGACAAATCTCCCTATTTGACAGTTGAAATGGTTGGAGAAATGAAGTGATTGTCCATGTGGTGGACAAAGGTAATATTATAAAGCAGTCCTGAGGCTCTAAAGCCCTTGGTCTTCATTCCACTTGGTAATCCTTGTTTTTATTATCAACCATACTTTATTAAAGTTCAGTGACGGAGAATAAGAAGTAAAGTTAGCATTGGCTCATTTGCAAAATATTGAAATAAAAGGAGACATTAAAAAAACCATATCAGGTTTCAAGGCCTCAATTCCAAGAAATATACTCCTTTCATCAAGTATAAAATAACCCCCAATGCAGCCCAATTTCCCACCATTGTTAACTACAATTAAATGTCCTTATGCCACCTTTAGTTCTTAGATATTTTAATTCATGTCCTATTTTTTCTTGCTGCCCAATTTTTCTTCTTTTGTTCTTCGACTACTGCCTTGAACCCCATCCTAATTGTTACCTCGTGGGCCATACCCTACTCTAACCCTGCTCCAATGGGTTTTAGAAAAGGATACTACCTGGGCTCCCTTCTGGTCTTCATCCAGATTCACTGATGGTTCCAGGGCCTGGAACCAGTCATCCAGGAGGTCATCCGTAGGTGTGGAACCCATTGGCTCTAAGAGATGCTCCATTCCCTGGCTGGGAAGGTGGCAGAGTCAGAGGAATATGCACCTCTTTCAGACTATCCCTTTTCAGCCAGAAAAAGCTAAACCTCTGCAAAGTGAGGAGAGGTAGGGCTCAGTCCACCACTCCTAACAAGGAACCAAGAATAATACACACACCCCTCGGACCTCCTGCCTTTCGGGGGCTGGCTGGGGGGATCCCAGGAATGCAGGGCTCTTCTCCACTGCCTGATCTGGGCATCCCAGGAGCGGCGGCTGTACCTCCTCTTCTTGTTTGGTGTTTGAGGGTGAAGTCCTGGCTGTCGCTTTGCCCTGGTGATGACAAATAAGTGTCAGACTCAGGCCAAAATAAAGGGGCACAGTGCATTGTTTATCACAGTGAATTCAGAGATTCATTAGGGATTTCCTGAGAGTAAGGTAAGACCAGTGTCCTCAATTCAATGGGAAAAAAAATAAGTCTTCAGATGGGATTAAGCACTGAACTTTCTAAATTTCTAATATTCTTCTAAGAAAGGTAATTTAGATAAACTCACTCCCCCAGAAATCAAGATAGATATAAGATGGTATCTGACATCCCTTTAAAATACATACTATCAAAAATAAATAAATAAAATAAAATAAAATAAAATAAAATAAAATACATACTGCCGGGCAGCTTGGGTGGCTCAGCGGTGTACTGCCACCTTCAGCTCAGGGAATGATCCTGGAGACCCGGGATCGAACCCACGTCGGGCTCCCTGCATGGAGCCTGCTTTTCTCTCTGCCTCTCTCTCTCTGTCTCTGTCTCTCTCAGACATTTTATTTTAAAATAAAATCTTTAAAAAAATAAAATACATACTACCCTTTAATACATTTAGTTTGTGTGTATGCATGGAAACTTACATATAATTAGGTTGTAATTAGCGAAGTCAGCTAAAGGTATGAGGTAATGGTTAGAAAGAAAAAACTTCATAGCAAACATGAATAGAACTCTAACAACTCTCAGGGCTCAAGTATGATTTGTTCCATTAAAAAAATCTTGAAAATTTATTTTTGGGGCTACATTTTAGGAGAATTAGTTGTAGTAATGATAGAACTTTGTGAGAGCACTCAGATTCTAGTATCATTCCGTCATCCTACATTGAAACAAACGGCTTGGCTGACACTTTTGTTGTGACCACCCACAACTGCACTCACTTGGGGACCTGCTGCAGGAAACACTGGTAACCAGGTGTGCGCTTGCCATAATCTATCTGTTTTTGCCGCCGCTGTAGAACAGTTTCATCTGTCTCTTCCTCCCACCTGTGGGGGAAGTATACAGTGGCCCCATGAAGTATGATTAGGGTTATCAAAGCAGAAATCAATTCATCCCATACTCCTTTAACCCCCAGTCTGATTTTCAAACTCACCTGGAATGGCAGGGCTCTGTGCTGACGCCCACACTCACCATCTCAATCCCAGAGAATAAAGACTCTTCACACACTTTCTTTCTGGGGAAGCAGATTCTACAGATGAAAAGAGTATTAGGATAAAACCTGGCTGACTACACTGTACCACCACCAAGATGTGGACACCAGTAAAGGTTGTATGCCGGACTTAACTGTTTTTCAAAGACAAAGGTGTTTTTTTTTTTTTTTCTGATTTGTTTCTCAGACTGGTCTGCAAGCCATCAGCATGAGTAACCCCTGGGAGCCTGGAGAATTCCTAGGCCCCGCTCTCGACTTATTGGATCATAATTTTGGGGCCTGCATTTTAAAAAGCTTCTGGGCTATTTTGATCATTTTTTTTATTACAGAAAATTTCAAAAATACAGAGAAGAACACAGTATAATGTTTTGCTACTCAAAGTGTGGTCCCAGGACCAGCTGCATCAGCATCAGCATCAGCTGCAAGCTTATTAGAAGTGCAGAATCTTGGGCTCCAACCCAGACCTATTGAATCAGAACCTGCATTTTAACAAGATCCCCAGATGATTAGTATGCATTTTAAACTTTGAGAGTAATAATATAATGGATCGCCACTCACCCATCACGTAATACTCATGGCAAACCTTGTTTCATCTATACCCACCACTACTCCCACTGGATGATTCAAATCTTCAATATTAACAACTATTGAAAAAATTATTGAGGGTCATCTGGCTTAGCTAAGTCGGAAATCCATGGGATTCTTGATCTTGGGATCCTGAGTTTGAGCCCCACATTGGGTGTAGAGATTACAAAAGTAAATAAACTTTGGGGGGGGGGAAGGAATAATTCTTTAATATCACCTCATCAGTGTTCAAATTTCCATAAACGACCGGTTTGCGATTCTTTAGTCTGTAATAAGGATTACGCCAAGAGATGGTTCAATCCCCCCGCTTTCCTTTAAAAGATATTTCCTTTATCCTACAAAACCTAGCGTCTAATAGATGCGCTCTACAAGAACACAGAACAAGGAAAGCTCTTGCAAGGGGCCAGTGCTGCTCGACGTAAGCACACACACCTGTCTTGGCTCAACATCTGCTACACCAGCGGAAAACGCTCCATCTCCGACCGAAGGCAAGCAAAACGGAGAGGAAAAGACCCACGTAACGACAGAAGAAAGAAGCAAGGAAAGAGAACCTTTTAAGACACCCTGCATCCAAACAAACCTCCTTAGGTAATATCCTAAAGAGTGATAATCGCTCTCGAAGTGCAGTTTAAATCTCCCGGGGTTGGAGGGGCAGAGGAAAGGGAGCACCCGAGCCCACGGTGGCGATTGGCTGGAGGGAGAACCAATGGTGTGCCAGGCATTCAGGGGGCGGGGCTTGCCCAGCTTGCTGGACGCTGGTGGGCCAATGGGCATCCTGCTCCGCCTACGGGGCGGGGCAAATTGTGCTCCTTCCAAAGCAAGCTCACGCCTGGTGACGTAGGGCCAAACGATTGGCTGTGGCGGTGGTGGCGTGCGCAGATTGGCTGGCGCAGCTTTGCGGGGAATGGGATAGGGTTACCGGGAAGGCGGAATGTTTGAACAGCCAGGCCCTGGGACTGTTGACTCTTCTCCGGAGGCCGCCGCTTTGGTCGTTTCCTGGGAGAAGCGCAAAGCCCGACTCCAGCCTCTTTTGTCTAGAAGCAGAATTGTAGGCTGGTTAATTCACTCCTTTCCTCAGGTTTCTTTTAATTCTGCTCAAGTGTTCGCTTGTGATTGATCTCCCAGGTGCGTTTGTCCTGAAGGTGAATCTCAGGGTCCAACCTGAGGTAAGCTCGGAGCTGTCTCCGCCGGGATCACGGAGACCCCAGCGTCCCCTTGGGGTCGGGGCGCCACAAACAGAACTCCAGGGGACCTAATGGTCTTTGTCGTGAGTGAAGAAACCTAAATTCCTTCCTTTCACGAGTCACGAGCTGTGTGGGCCCCGAACAAGTGAAAGCCCTCTTTTCATTCCTTTTTTAACGTCTTGGGTTTGGGGCGCCTGGCTAGGTCAGTCGATGGAACGTGGTACTGTTGATCCTTAGGTCGTGAGTTCGAGCCCCACCTTGGGTTGTAGTCCTTACTTTAAAAGAGTGGGTAGGGACGCCTGGTTGGCTCAGTGGTTGAGCGTCTGCCTTTGGCTCAGGGTGTGATCCTGGAGTCCTGGGATCGAGTCCCGCATCGGGCTCCGTGCAGGGAGCCTGCTTCTCCTCTCTCTGCCTGTGTCTCTGCCTCTCTCTGTGTGTGTCTCGTGAATAAATAAATAAAATCTTTTTAAAAAATTAAAAAAAAATAAAAGAGGGGGGAGGTGAGTGGCTCAGTGGTTGAGCATCTGCCTTCGACTCGGGTCCTGGCCCAGTGGTCCTGCGATCGAGTCCCGCATCGGGCTCCCCGCAGGGAGCCTGCTTCTCCCTCTGCCTTGCCTCTGTGTCTCTCATGAATAAATGAATAAATAAGTATTTTTTTAATGGAAAAAAGTATTTTTTTCTTTTTCTTTTCTTTCTTTTTTTATTTTTTTTAAATTTTTATTTATTTATGATAGTCACAAAGAGAGAGAGAGAGAGAGGCAGAGACACAGGCAGAGGGAGAAGCAGGTTCCATGCACCGGGAGCCTGACGTGGGATTCGATCCCGGGTCTCCAGGATCGCGCCCTGGGCCAAAGGCAAGCGCCAAACCGCTGCGCCACCCAGGGATCCCCCCCCCCCTTTTTTTAATGATTTTTAAAAGTTCAGGCTCCAAGGAAAAGGGCAAGCCGCTTGGGGTGCGTTTGATTTCACCTTCAGGTGGAGCTATGTGATTTATCACTTGAGATGCCCCTCCACTGCGAACCACTCGGCCTGTGCTGGGAAGGGTGTAGAAGGTGTGAAAACTGGACAGTCTGTGGGGTACCGATGTAGGTGACTTTCACCTCCTAGCTAATTTTTATTATTATTTTCCCCCCTTAGGATTGAGAGGCCATGTCTGCAGAATTTATTTCATCCATAGAACAGGAGGGCTGCCCCCGGTCAGGACCCAGTTTTAGATCCAGTCAGAGGAAGATGTTAAACCTGCTCCTGGAGAGAGACACTTCCTTTACCACCTGCCCAGACCTCCCTAGAACTCCAGTGAACAAACACTTTGGTGATTCTGCCAACCTAAGCGTTTTGTCTGGGTAAATTCACCTTTTCACACCTTATCGACTTTGCTTTTCTGAACAGTCTTTGTTTTTTTTGTTTTGTTTTGTTTTGTTGTTGTTTTTTTTAATTAACCCAGCTCAAAGATCAGGGGTGAAATTTTAAACCCTGCCCTTAACTAATTGTGTGACTCTTGAATCTCAGGTTTCTTTTCTATGACATAGAAATAATCTTTCCTATCTTACTAGGATCTTGTGAGAATCAAATGATCTGATGTCTGGGAGAAGTCTTTGAAAACTCTATATTGCATTATATGAGATGGTTGTTTTATTAATATTTATACTAGTGTTATTGTACTTTAAATTCTGGTCATGCCATGCTCTGACGCTTCAGCTAGCAAACAAACTTGGAGAGCTATAAACCTGAGAAGTACTAGAGACTCTAAAGAGAAATCAAATAAATCTGTGTGCTCACAGTGCACTGGGCAGAAGATGTGGGGTCAAGGCCAACTTCAGCCAATAATCTTTGGTTCTCAATTAAGAAAAAAATTACTGGGATCCCTGGGTGGCGCGGCGGTTCGGCGCCTGCCTTTGGCCCAGGGCGTGATCCTGGAGACCTGGGATCGAATCCCACGTCAGGCTCCCGGTGCATGGAGCCTGCTTCTCCCTCTGCCTGTGTCTCTGCCTCTCTCACTCTCTCTGTGTGACTATCATAAATAAAAATTAAAAAAAAAAAGAATTTAAAAAAAAAAAAGAAAAAAAGAAAAAAATTACTTGTCTCAGTATGTTGGTGAGGAGGAAATGGCGAATTATTGGAGTAGAGGAAAGTGGGAGATTTTTCTCAGCCTACTCTGAAATATTTACAAAAAGCAGCTAGATTTATTTGGACATTGTTCACATTGTGTGAATGACTATGGAGGGATGCTTCAAATTGAGAGGATAATGTGATCTTTGCCTCTTTTAAAAATTTTTTTTTGATCTTTGCCTTTTAAGGATATTACAATCTAATAGGAATCTTGATGTACTGTTATGTCTCAATAGAGGAACCCCCAAATGTTGCCTTGATCTTTCGAATCTTAGCAGTAGCGGAGAGATATCTGCCAATCAACTTACCACTTCTGCAGACCTTGATGAAACTGGTAAGGGGAATGGAGGTAAAAGCCTCAAGGGAAAGAACAACTTTTAAGGGAGATAACAGAGTAGTTGGATAGAGATGAAAGGTGCTAAAAGTTGGTAGAGTTCCCTGAAGCTGGAATTCTGTGAGTACCTAGTGGTGGATTTTTGAGAATGATAAGCCAAGAAGAGAAATGTACTATCATTAATAGGAGTTACTTTGCATTTGAAAAATTTAACAGGAGGGAATTTTTTGTTGACTGGTGGTGGGAATGAAAGTAGTAGTTAAAATGAGACGTTTCATGTCCTAGTCTAGTCTTAACAAAGGCAAAGAAGCAAACATAAATGTTAACTAAACCTTCTGTTTTTGTAGGGTCTGATCTCAAAAGGAGTAATTAGTCAACCATTTTAGTATTTGTTCTACTTTTAGATTTTCTGAGTGATAAGCGTTATTTTCTACTCATGAAAAAAAAAAACCTCTTTTGGTTAGGGTAGGGCACTGTTTCCCAGCATTTTTTTTTTCTTTGTGACACATGTAAATTCTTAAGTTACCATGAACTTGTACCTTGTACCATAAACTTAGTACCTATCAAGAGACTTTGTGTTCATAACATCAGCTTTTGAAATTAATATGGCTTACTGGTAATGAAGATAACCAGAAGAAAAGACAGGATGCATGGACAAGAATAACTCTTCATATTTTATTACAGGTCTCTTGGATTCTAAAGGACCTCAGGAAATACGTTTAGTTGGGATGTAAGTTCTTTTACTAAATGAACCCCATGCTAAAGCCTTTTTTAGCAGTGGCACAGGGTTTTTATACTATGCAGACTCTGGAACCTTTTGCTTTGAGTGTAAGTGGGCTTGAAGGCCTGGATCCTTCCCTTGAAAGGTTTTTTAAATTTCCTGGTCCTGGATCTAAATAATTCATTTTAACCATTATGTACAATCCATATTATTTTTAAAAATGAGGGATCCCTGGGTGGCGCAGCGGTTTGGAGCCTGCCTTTGGCCCAGGGCGCAATCCTGGAGACCCGGGATCGAATCCCACATCGGGCTCCCGGTGCATGGAGCCTGCTTCTCCCTCTGCCTGTGTCTCTGCCTCTCTCTCTCTCTCTCTCTCTCTCTCTGTGACTATCATAAATAAATAAAAAATAAATTTAAAAAAATAAATAAAAATAAAAATGAAAGAAAATGGTAAATTGTATTTAGGCATCAGCTCTTACCTGCATGTGAATAGTGCTATGTTAGAGCACTTAGGTTCCAGTGATTTACTATGTCACCAGCTGTGACTCTGAAGAGTTTCTTTAACTTCACTGGAACTCAGTTTCTTTATTTGTAATGCATAACAATGGAGATAATACTAGTACTTCTTAACTACCTGGGCTTATTTGTAAAGTTTACATTTGACTGTTTTAATTTTTAATTTTTTTATTTTTTTTTAAGATTTTATTTATTTATTCAAGAGAGACATACAGACAGGCAGAGGGAGAAGCAGGCTAAACTACTGAGCCGCCCAGGCTGCCCTGTTTTAATCTTTTTAGAACTTTATCCTTCCATGTGTAGGTGAATTGGCTGCCACTATAGTGCCCTAGTGGAAGCATTCCATGACTTTTAAATTAATTATTTATTTATTTATTTATTTATTTATTTATTTATTTATTTATTTATTTATTTAAGATTTTATCTTTAGGGCCAGCCCGGGTGGCTCAGCGGTTTAGCACTGCCTTCAGCCCAGGGCCTGATCCTGGAGACCCAGGATTGAGTCCATGTCAGGCTCCCTGCATGGAACCTGCTTCTCCCTCTGCCTGTGTCTCTGCCCCTCTCTCTTTCTCTGTTGTCTCTCATGAATAAATAAATAAAATCTTTTTTTAAAAAATAAAGATTTTATCTTTAAAATTTATTTATTATTTTTTATAAGATTTATTTATTTATTCATGAGAAACATAGGCTGAGAGAGAGAGAGGCAGAGAAACAGGCAGAGGGAGAAGCAGGCTCCTCACAGGGAGCGCAATGTGGGACTCGATCCTGGATCCCAGGATCATGACCTGAGTGAGCCAAAGGCAGGTGCCCAACTGCTGAGCCACCCAGGCATCCCAAAATTTTTTTTATTATTTTTTTTAAAGATTTTATTTATTTATTCATGAGAGATACAACAAGAGACAGAGACATAGGCCGAGATCATGGGACTTGATCCCAGGACCCCAGGATCATGACCTGAGCCAAAGGCAGATGCTTGAGTGGCTGAGTCTGCCTTTGACTTAAGGTGTGATCCCAGAATCCAGGATAGAGTCCCATATTGGCCTCCCTGCGAGCAGCCTGCTTCTCCATCTGCCTATGTCTCTGCCTCTTTCTCTGTGTCTCTCATGAATAAATAAATAAATTTTTAAAAAAAAAAGATTTTATTTACTTATTCATGAGAGACACAGAGAGGCAGAGAGGAGAAGCAGGCTCCATGCAAAGAACTCAATATGGGACTCAATCCCGGGACTCTAGGATCACATCCTGAGCTGAAGGCAGATGCTCAACCGCTGAGCCACCCAACGGTCCAAAACATTTTTTTTATATTTAAGGCATCTTTACATCTAACGTGGGGCTTGAACTCAGAATTCCGAGATCAAGAGTTACATGCTCTAGTGACAGCCAGCCAGGTACCCCTCCATGACTATTTTTAATAGTACATGTGAAAATTTCATTTTGGATTGCTTGTAGTTTCTTTGGCTCATTTAAGATGTCCTAGCCCATGTAGACTGGATAAAATCCTGGCAGAAAGGATAGTATTTCATAAAAAATAAATATTAGGGGATCCCTGGGTGGCTCAGCGGTTTAGCGCCTGCCTTTGGCCCAGAGTGCGATCCTGGAGTCCCGGGATCGAGTCCCATGTCGGGCTCCCGGCATGGAGCCTGCTTCTCCTTCCTCCTGTGTCTCTGCCTCTCTCTCTCTCTCTCTCTCTCTCTCTCTCTCTCTGTCTATCATAAATAAATAAATCTTTAAAAAAAAATTAGCTCCCAGTAGCCAATGCTGAAAAATTAGTCAATTGTGACTGTAACATGTAGAACAAACTCATCATCTTTGATGCATATCTGTTTGTATGATTATGCATGTGAAATGAGTGCCTTATTCCCAGGATGTCACTCAACATTTTCATACTTACCACAGAAGTAGAGACACATTGTTACTGAAAGAGACCCATCGACTAGGGGTTCCCAGCATGGAAAAAGGAAAAGTTGGGATGCCTCAAGCCACTGATGAATAACTGAATAGTATTTGGTGTTAACTGCACAGCTTTTTTTTTGGTCTACAGGAGTCATCACCAGCACCTTATAAAATGCAGCCCAGTGAGTAGCACCTCTTTCTTGGGTTTGGGTTTGTTTCTCAGTTGGGAGACAGAAGCTTTCCAGCTCACCTGTGGCTCTTGGATGCTGGATTTTCTCAGAAAACATTCTCTTGTAGGCACAACTGTTTTGTAGCACTCCAAATGCTTTGGATCATGGCAAGAGAAAGAAAGATGCAATATGTCGCTCATCTGCAAAGAAAGAAAATGTGAGTGTTAAACGGAAACCTATAAACATTAGCACTTTTCTTGCTGTGAGGGCAGCAACTCATCAGTATCATTATGAGAGCCTAGGACCCTATGTGTCAGTGCTGCAAACAAGCAAACTGCAACACTATAGACAAAAAATTCTTTATGGTTTGTTTTTTCAGGACTTGACCCTAGAACATAAACCTAGCTGCAAGTCTTCCACAGCGGGTCATCATTATTACCCATGTTCAGTTGATTGATTTAAGGACAAAAATCTCTGTTACTGTAGTTTGGGAATTTAGAACTATTTAAACAGATAAAGGTAATGTACATAAGTTGTTCACATACTCTTTGAATGGCTTTATGCATAGGTCTACTTTATTTTTATTTCTCCCTTAGTCCAGCTTATTAGCCCATATTCTGAGAAAGCCATGGGCCTTTTTGTGTGAGCCTCAGGCCTTCTATCAGTTCTTTTTTTTTTTTTTTAAGATTTGTTTATTTTATTTTATTTTTTTTAAGATTTTATTTATTTATTCAAGAGAGACACACACAGGGAGAGAGAGGCAGAGACACAGGCAGAAGGAGAAGCAGGCTCCATGCAGGGAGCCCAACATGGGACTCAATCCCGGGTCTCCAGGATCAGGCCCTGGGCTGAAGGCGGCGCTAAACCACTGAGCCACCCGGTTGCCCAAGATTTGTTTATTTTTAAAAATATTTTATTTATTTGAGAGAAAAAGTGAGAGAGAGCATGAGCTAGGGAAGAAGCTAAGAGAGGGAGAAGCAGACTCCCTGCTGAGCAGGGAGAACAACATGGGGCTTGAACCCAGGATCCTGAGATCATGACCTGAGTTGAAGGCAGATGCTTAACCGACTGAGCCACCCAGGTGCCCATATTTATTTATTTGACAGAGAGAGAGCACACCTGAATGAGTACAAGGGAAGGGGCAGAGGGAAAGGGACAGAATCCACAAGCTGACTCCTGCTGAGTACAGAGCCTGAGGCAGGGTTGATCCCATGACCCTGAGATCTTGACCTAAGCTGAAACCTAGAGTCAGATGTTTACCCACTGAGTTTCCCAGGTGCCCTCCCCACCATCAGTTCTAAGTTTAACTGGGCTCTACAGCATTACCTAATCACCAAGATAATTGTCTAAATCATCCCTTCAACTAGCCATCTTTTTCTTTTCCCTGCTTCCCATCCTTTCCCCCATGTCAATGTATATAAAAGATAGCTGCTGTTCTTTCCTCACATTGACTAAGTTATACCCATGTTTTTGACTGTTCTACTCCGCTTTTTCTAGATGATTTGATACTGTCCTTCTGATGACTTTTTAAAAATCTCAACATCCCCTCCCCGCTCAGGCTCCCCTCTTCTCCCTTCCTTTGGCTTGTGATTGTAAAATTAGTATCCTCCAAAGCAAATCTAAATATCATACGTCAAATTCAAACCATAATTTGTATCATCAGGATATAGGATCAACTTTGATTACTCTTAATGTGTTTTGTGAGGGTTATTCATGGCTTCTCCTGATGAAATGTGTTTGGCAGGGCTTGCTGACACTTGTCTTCCTCCAGACAAAGTAGTTTTTCTTGTGCAGGAGAACAACACTTTGAAGTCCTTGGGGTGGGCACCTGGGAGCCTTAAGTTTCGAAAGACACCAGGGGGGCCTTACATGTCTCCGCTTTCTCTCCCGGTGAGTCACTGAACATCCTCATCAAGGGTCTGCTAAGGTGTTGTGGATTATAGGATGCCAGATCGCATTTACAACCCTTTGAATTTTTCTAGGCTTGCTTGGGTGAGAAAAGGGATTGGAGAAATAACTCTAGAAAAGGGAGGAGACACATCCTCTGATCTTTTTATTGTTTAAATTTAAGGAGGAAAAAAAATTTTTAGGCCTTTTACATATTTTCTTTTATTCTTTATGTAGCTACCTCCCCTCCCAATTTTTTTTAAAGATTTTATTTATTTATTCATGAGAGACACTGAGAGAGAGACAGAGACATGAGGGAGAAGCAGGCTCTTTGCAGGGAGCCCAATGTGGGACTCGATTCCTGGACCCAGGATCATGACCTGAGCCAAAGGCAGATGCTCAATCGCTGAGCCACCCAGGCATCCCCCTCCCCAATTTTAAAAGTACTTTGTGCGCATTGTGAAAATGGTTTAAAAATATAAGAGTATAAAAAAGAAGATAGCTACCTCCTAGAGGGAAAACTGCTGTTAACATTTTACTTCGTTTCTTTACAATCTTTTGGTATAGTCTTCCAAAGTCATATTACGTATATATAACTTTGTATCCCATTTTTTAGAGTTAATATTGAAATTCCTAGTAAACGTTATTTTTTCATAGATGCTTTTACTCTAACAAATGGACCATAATATATGTACTTCCCTATTTTTGGTCACTTAGTGGTGTCGATATTTTGCTTTTACAAGTAACGTTATTATGTAAGTTCTTGAGCATCAATCCTTACCTATATTTCAAAATATTTTCTCTAGGATTAGTACCAAGAATTATAATTAGGAGGTTAAAGCATATATTTTTAAGATTTTTTTTTTTTTTTTAATTACGATAGTCACAGAGAGAGAGAGAGAGGCAGAGACACAGGCAGATGGAGAAGCAGGCTCCATGCACCGGGAGCCCGACGTGGGATTCGATCCTGGGTCTCCAGGATTGCGCCCTGGGCCAAAGGCAGGCGCTAAACCGCTGCGCCACCCAGGGATCCCTAAGATTTTTGATATATATATGGCCGGATTCCTTTCCAAAAAGTTGTGAGAATTTACATATTTGTTAACAATCTATAGGTCTTTGGATAAATGATCTGTTTTTATTTTTTAAAGATTTTATTTTATTTATTCATGAGAGACAGAGAGAGAGAGAGAGAGAGAGAGGCAGAGACACAGGCAGAGGGAGAAGCAGGCTCCATGCAGGGAGCCTGATGTGGGACTTGATCCTGGCAGGATCACGCCCTGGGCTGCAGGCGGCGCTAAACCACTGCGCCACTGGGGCTGCCCTAAATGATCTGTTTTTATTATTTTAACTGCTAATTAGATTGGTAAAATGTTTTATTTTATGTTAAAAACAATTAGTAGTAATTTCATGTGAGTATTAGCCATGTACATTTCTCCTTGTAAATGACTGTGTTTCCTTTGTCCCTTTAGCTACTGGAGTCTTAAGTTCCCCAGGCACTTAACTTGCTTTTCATAGACGGTGGATTCAAGATACTCCAGAGATTTAGAGTCTAATCTCAATCCTAAGGAAAAGTCATTTTAACATGGCCCATCCTACATAGATTGACTGTGTTTTAGGTTTTTTGTTTGTTTTCTTGTTTTTTTTTGTTGTTGTTGTTTATTGGAGTTCAATTTGCCAACATATAGCATAACACCCAGTGCTCATCCCAACAAGTGCCCCCCTCAGTGCCTGTCACCCAGTCACCCCAACCCCCTAGGTTTTTTATTTCTTGGAGATAAAGAAGACTTGGAGCATGGTAAATTATTGGATAGTCTCCTCTGTGTGTGTGTGTCTTTTAATGTGGTAAAGTATACATAACATAAAATTTGCCATTTTAACCAATTTTAAATGTACAATCCAGCAACATTAAATACATTCATAATGTTGTGCACCCATCACCACTGTTCATTTCCAGGTTTTTTTTCATCATTTAGAATAGAAAGTCTCTACTCATTAAAAAATAGCTCCCCCATTTCTCCCTGCCTTTCACCCCTGGTGACCTCTAGTCTGTTTTCTGTCTATGAATTTTACTAGTCTAGATACTTCATGATGTGGAGTCATAAATTATATGTCCTTTTGTCTCTGAATTATGTTACTTAGTATAATGTCTTTAAGATTCATTTTTGTTGTAGCATGTTTCAGAATTTCATTCCTTTTTATGGCTGAATAATAGCCCATGGTCTGTCTATACTACATTCTTTTTATCCATTAATTTGTTAGTGGACATTTGGGTTGTTTCAACCTTTTTCATTATGAATAATGAATATTGGTATACAAATATCTGTTCAAATCCTTGCTTTCAATTCTTTGGAGTATATACCCAGAAATGGAATTAGTGGATCATATGACAATTCTGTATTTAATTTGAGGGGAAAACACTCTACTGTTATCCATAGCAGCTGCACCATTTTAAAATCTTTTTTTATATATATTATGCTGTATGAGTTTTTAAATATATTCTAGAAAAAAAATAAATATATATATTCTAGATATTAATCATCTCTTATCAGACATATAATTTGCCAATATTTTCTCCCATTTGGGCATTGCCTTTTTACTTTCTTGGTATTTTCTGATGCACAGAAGTTTTTGTTTTGTTTTGTTTTCTGTTTTTTTATTCGAGAGAGAGAGAGAGAGAGAGAGAGAGAGAGAGAGACATGCAGAGGGAGAAGCAGGCTCTATGCAGGAAGCCTGCTGTGGGAGTTGATCCCGGGACTCCCAGATCATGCCCTGAGCCAAAGGCAAACGCCCAACCGCTGAGCCACCCAGGCATCCCTGCACAGAAGTTTTAAATTTCAATGTCTAATTTGTCCATTTTTTTCTTCTGTTGCTGATGCTTTTGTGTCATATTCATGAAATCACTGCCAAATCCAATGTTACGAACTTTGCCCACCATTCTAAGAATTTTATAGTTTTAGCTCTTATATTTAGGTCTTTGATTCATTTTGAGTTAGTTTTTGTGGATTATATAAGGTAAAGATCCTGAATAACTTTTAATATTGTCCATATGATTGACAGGACCATGGAAACGTTTTGGAAAGTGAAATAAAATATCCTGGCAGTCCCATTACTACACTTCCAAAATTGGATAAAAATCCAGAACTAGAAGATCAGGCAGTGGAGATTTTTGATGAATTGATGACGTTTTCTCTGGAAGATCAAGAAGAGGGCAAGGTAAAGTACTGTCTGATATCTGCATTTCCATATTCCTTCAATCTTGTGTGTCTATTGGGTTTTAGCCACTGTACTAAGTGGTAGGTCTGCAGAGATCAAGAGGACATGGTCTCTGTACTCTAAGAGCTACCTGAATGGTAGGATTTATGTGTTAACCATATTACTGCTGAGAAGTTTCCAGTTAGTAGTTTGAGTACATCACCATCAATGTAATTTGGCGTAAGTGATGCTTCCAGAATAATAGTCATTACTATTGGAACATACCTAGCATGATTTTTCAGGTGTTTTACAACATATCCTCCCTGTGTTCCTGGGAGGCACACCTGAAGCCTGTGGCTTATTGACCATGTCCTGATATGTCAAAGAGATTCTGAAACATTTAGCGTTTCCAAATCAACTTCATTCCTTCAAAATAAATATGTATAGGAGTGTGTTTTTTAAGTTTATTGATTAGACAGGCAAATGTGCTATAGTTAAGTCCTCGGATTGTAGTCCAGATCATTCTCTTATTTAGTGTTATGAACATGAGAAAGATACTTAACCAGTCTAAGGCTCAGTTTCTCACTTGTAAAATAGAGAGCATAATAATGAGATATACTTCCTCAGTAGGATTTCTGTGAATATGATTAGGTGTTAAATGCAGTTTATAATATTTCATATATTTTATTATTAATAAAAACAAATGTAAGCTATAAAACCCTCAATAAATATTTATTATTATGAGACTGATATGTGCCAGGTGCTATATTAGAACTGAAGACAGAGTCATGATTAAGATGGTCAAGATTTGGGATCCCTGGGTGGCTCAGTGGTTTAGCGCCTGCCTTCGGCCCAGGTCTCAGGATCGAGTCCCGCATTGGACTTCCTGCATGGAGCCTGCTTCTCCCTCTGCCTGTGTCTCTGCCTCTCTCTGTGTGTCTCTCATGAATAAATAAATAAAACCTTAAAAAAAAAAAAGTGATTTAAAAAAAAAAGAAAAAAAAGATGGTCAAGATTCCTAACTTTCACAGAGCTAATATTTATATTTTTTCTAGTTTAGAAGATAGACAACAGAAGCAAAACAATACCCACAATAATAGAATGTCATAGTGGCCTGAAAAAGGACCTAGATGTTTAGTAGGGTGCTGCTTTTAACTTTAACTTGAGTAACTAGAGCAGTCCTGACATTGCAATGAATTTGAAAAAGAAGGATGGTATCAAAGGGAATCAGATGCATTCTGTTTTGGACATTTGAGTTAGAGGCGTTAGTAGGAAATATATTCTCCTTGAAAAAAACTAAAACATAATAGCTAAAGCTAACCCTGTGTGATCACCATTGATAGCCCCTGTTGAAAGGTGACTTTGAGATTATGTGGGATTATAGGGAAATGTCAAGAGCATGGGAGTCAATGGAACATATTGGTCTAGAAAGTAACAGACCCTGGGTCCAGGCTCCCTGGGTTCCATAACTTGGCTCTCTAACAGTATGGGTAAAGTCATATGATTTCCCTATGCTTCTTAATCTACATAAAAGAAAAGATTTTGATAACTATTTCATAGGGTTGTTGTGATGATGAAATGAGTTAATTGTACATAAAGCATTTAGAACAATACTTGCCAATCACTAATGCTGGATTATTATGTGGTATAAGTGCTTAATTATTGTAGGATAAGGACCGAAATGTGTGGAGTTATAAAGACTGGTAGAGAAGGGATGCTCAGGCAGCCCGGGTGGCTCAGTGGTTTAGCGCCGCCTTCAGCCCAGGGCCTGATCCTGGAGACCCAGGATCGAGTCCTACATCGGGCTCCCTGCATAGAGCCTGCTTCTCCCTCTTCCTGTGTCTCTGCCTCTCTCTCTCTCTCTCTCTCTTTCTCTCTCTTTCTGTGTCTCTCATGAATAAATAAATAAAATCTTTTTAAAAAATTGAAAAAAAAAGAGAAGGAATGCTCAATGGCCTTGATGTCCTTAGCAAAGTGAAAGTCGCAGTAATCTGATGATTCAGGCAAAAGTGTTAGGTGATGGTCTTGAAGAGTTTGGAGAAAGTTATAATCAACTTCTGGAAACCACAGAAGGGAATTATTAAAAGGCTAATGAAATGATATTTGTAAGGTTTTATGTAATAGACTGCATGGCATAGTGTGCTATTGCCTAGAAGCAAGATTGGAGACTGGAACTCCCGGGATGATTAAGTTATGGTAGGAGGTTGCTAATGGCAGATGAAAAAGGGGTTGACTTAGCATAGGTGATGGTGAAAGTAACAGAGAAGTAGATGATGATGAATCAAAGCCTGGATAAGGAGCCAAATGTCTCACTGGGTAGACTCAGTAAAATAAGAACAGTAATATGGTTGAAAGTTGCTGAGGAGGAAGAAGCATCTGGTTTGGGAACTTTTGAGAACTAGGGGAGATTTTAGTTAATTAAGGACATGCCAAGTTTGAATTCTTGATGGTAGAGTAATAGAGGAGGGTTGCAAAATTTTGTTTTTCTTTTTTTTTTTTTTTTTTTGTCCCTGTTTGTTGAGAAACTGATATGGAGTGCAGGAGAAGCTTGGTGCGATTATTGAAGAAGTTATAGAGTCCCTCTCTGAAGGGTTTTCAGTTTTTAGAACACTGTATGAATGTGGAGTATCTTGAGAGACTAGAGTGGGAAAGAAAAAAATGAGAGGCAAGTAATAATAGTAGGTCCAGTTTATTGACTACTTGTACTGGGCATTGTGTGCTAAGCTGTTTACATCCATTATCACATTTCATTTTCGTGTCAGCCCTGAAATAGAAGCATAATGCTCTTTTATTTTCTTTCTTCTCTCTCTTGTTTTTTCTTTAGTATGATCCCTTTGAGGAGGAACATCAGACCATAGGATAAAGGCTGTTACCCAAGGTCACAAAGTTAGCCATTGGCAGAGTCAGGATTTAAACTGAGATTTGCTTGACTTCCTTCTGAGCTGGTATTTTTAGCAGTATTGTAATGTCTTTTGCTGAATATACCTGGGAGGTAAAAATTGTCCCAGGAACATGTTATAATGACATTTTTTTTTAAGGTTTTATTTATTTATTCATGAGAGACACAGAGAGAGAAAGAGAGAGAGGCAGAGACACAGGCAGAGGGAGAAGCAGGCTCCATGCAGGGACCCCGATGTGGGGCTGGATCCTGGGTCTCCAGGATCAGGCCCTGGGTTGAAGGCGGCACTAAACCACTGAGCCACCTGGGTTGCCCCCCCCCCTTTTTTTTTTTAGATTTTATTTATTTATTTGAGAGAGAGAGAGAGCAAGCAGGGGGAGGGGCAGTAGGAGAGGGAGAGAGAATCCCAAGCAGACTCTGCACCAAACTTGGAGCCTGACATAGGGCTCCATCCCAGGACCCCAAGATCATGACCTAAGCTGAAATCAAGAGTTGGATGCTTAAACAACTATGCCATCCAGGCATCCCAACATTTGCTTTTTTTTTTTTTTTTTAATATTTATTTATTCATGAGAGACACAGAGAGAGAGAGAGACAGAGACACAGGCAGAGGGAGAAGCAGGCTCCATGCAAGGAGCCCGACGTGGGACTCGATTCCAGGTCTCCAGTATCACACCCTGGGCTGAAGGTGGCATTAAACCGCTGAGCCACCGGGCTGCCCCCAACATTTGCTTTTTGCGTAAAGATAGTAAGGTTAAATACCTGAGTTTAAATTGACTCAAGTGTTAGGAAGGATGGTGAATCAATTATCTAGAACACTGCTATGCTGTAAAACTTTCTGAGATAATGGAAATCCTTTATATTTATCCAACATAGTAGCCACTCTATGGCTTTTGAGCACTTAAAATGTGGCTGATGCCACTAGACACTGAAGTTTTAAATTTTTTGTTTTAATTAATGCAGATAGCCATGTGTGGTTAGTGTTAGTATAGTGGGTAGTCAGATCTAGAGCCCTCTATAAAGTATGGTCCCTGGAGCAGCACCATCTGTATCAGATAGGAATTTCTCAGCAATGCAAATTTCTGGGCCCCATCCCAGACTTCCTAAATCAGAAACTGTGAGGGTGGGGCCCAGCAGTCTGTTTTAACAACCCCTCCAAGTGATTTTTGACGTGCCCTGAAGTTTGAAATCCTAGGTGTATAATGCAGTATTAAATCCTGTTTTGGGGATCCCTGGGTGGCCCAGCGGTTTGGCGCCTGCCTTTGGCCCAGGGCACGATCCTGGAGACCCGGGATCGAATCCCACGTCGGGCTCCCGGTGCATGGAGCCTGCTTTTCCCTCTGCCTGTGTCTCTGCCTCTCTCTCTCTCTCTGTGCCTATCATAAATAAATTTAAAAAAAATTAAAAAAATAAATAAATCCCGTTTTGGTTTAATGTTATTGATTTGTGAGAAGACAACAGAACCAAGGTATAATCTGAAAAAGACAAGATGAGTATTGGGAGAATTGACAGCGACCTTCCTAAAACAAACATTTTTGAGGACTCGCTGATAATGGAGGATAATATGCGGAAAAACAGCAAGTTTAAGGATAGTTAGCATGAGAAAAGTTGCTAGGCCTTCTGGGGAAAAAAAGAGCAATGGAAAGCGAACATTTAGTGGGACTCTTACGAATATATGTTAGTCTTCATATTTGTAAAATGTAGCTGAAATAGTCAAATCTCAACTAGGATTAACTAGTAATTAAATTTAATGTTGAAAAAATAAATAAATTTAATGTTGATTGAAAAGAAAATCTTTTGTTTTCAATTCTATTGTTGAAAATTTGTCTTATGTGGTTAGTCTGTTTTTGTTTTTTTTTTTTTTTTTTTTTGGTTAGTCTGTTTTTAAGAAACAATCAGTACAGGGATATGGTTGGTTCTTTCCTTCCTAAAGGTCTTTTATCATCTTAGAAATGTCATTCTGAGTTGTCTGTTTAACATAGACAGTATAGAAGAGTAGGTTTAAAATAGACTAACTCCAGGTAGTACTCTGGAAATTTTGTTTATGTGGAAGAAAAGCATCTGGCTTTCAGGTATTTTTTTTGAGGGTTTTTTTTTTTTTTTTTTTGGTTGGTTTTTTTTG